TGTCGACTGCTGCTTCTGGAAGTCCTAAAAATAAAATATAGCAAATAAGAATGAATAAAACGAAATTTGTATCAAACCTATTGTACAACAATATCACTAGAGCGACTTTTTATTTATGATCAGATAATTAAACTATATAACGCACCATGTAAATCATCTTCATTAGCGCTTGATGAGGCCGTACTTGACAAATGTGTGTAAAGTTCACCACTATTTGGACTCGAAACTGAATTAGATTTGCGTGCTTTGTGCTTCACCTTGAGGCGAGTATCCGCATCCACACTCAAACCATTCAAATATACCTTAAAAATTAATGTATAGGAACGAAAAAGGGGAGATTATTGCATCATGTATGCCTGGTAAGCAGTTATGCTTCTTTTCAGTAAGCTTACCTGGCTTTTGTATGTTGACACATAACCGGAACCAGTAGCATTGCTGGGACATATATCATCTCTTTCCCGACCAAAAGACCTGTGTTTTTTCCGCTCACACCTTGAAACTGGTGATTCAGTAGCACTGACAGACGATGCTTTTCCAGTCTTATAAAGACGAGAAGGTGGCGGAAGCGATGAATTGGAAATAGCAGGATCAGCACTTGAACGAATCGAAACAGTGACCGTGCCAGATGGTGATGGTATGGGTGTAGCGCTCAGTGCACATAATGAATTGCGTAAACGGCCACTATTTCCCGTTGAACACATATGTCCTTTATTTACCTTTATATGCTTCACATCTGGATAATCAATCTGGAAAAAAAGGTCAGTAGGTATTGCATTTACGAAGTGCGATATGGCTTTGAAAGTGAAAATTAAATATGTCACTTCCCATCCGATTTATTTCATTTAACCGACCTAATTCAATACAAAGCATCAATTCATTACTTGACATTCAAATAACAGTAAAGAATAGTCGTCAGTCAAAGTTTTATATTCAGTAAAAACTAACCACAATCATTTCTGCTGGTTGCAAAACAATGCAATCATTTTTGCGTCGATAATCCAACCCATTCCGTTTGCCAAACCTGTAAAGCTTCCATGTCAGGAAAGTACGAATGTTTGTGAAGAATGACAACCTCCATATGAGTTATGAAAGTAATGAAAATCTTCGATGAGAAACGGAAAAATCAGAATCCTATCAGTAACAGCAACGCAGATCTTTTTAGACTTAGACAGGTTTACAATGTCGGCAACATAACAATTCCTTTCTGTTTATCTCGCCATTTTTTCTGCCTAATTTTTGATTATCAAAAAAAACCATAGACAAGTCAAAAGATTAGTGAACTTTAAATTAATATTCCTTACATATTTAATTCGTGCAGAATGAAAATGAAAATTGCATACCAGCCGCAAGGTAAATAAATTTGTTCATCCATGAAAACACATCCAGAAAGTAGTATGTACCAACATGTAGCAACTTGGCCTTGTCTAAAATTAACGTATGTAAAAAGTTAATAAGAATTTTTTTCTTTACTGTATACTTAAACTGATCCACATATTACGAAATCTTGTATAAATACGCCAATAAAAAGTACCAGTTCTGATTTTTGCTTTAAGCAAAGAAAAAAATACAAACAAATCATATTTCTTACCGAAAAAGAATAAAATTAGCCGGATGTCTTTCAAAACGCGCAGTACAACAGATTGCCCGAAGTGGCGCATCATTCAAGTTATGAAAAACATCTAAACGTCGTAAATTTGAATATATAATTTTCAAATCCTGAAAAAAGCCTTACAAAAATATCCAGTAACAACACAGATACTTTTCCCCCTTTACACAATAGCAAGCTTAAATCTCGTAACTCTAAAAATTTCACGATAACAACAACAGACTTCGTTAATCAGTAATTACTAATCAAGCAAAAGTCTTCTTTTACAGTCAGTAAGTGATATTTACTTAAAATATCCAGACATTTTCGATGATAATTGAAAATTTCTATCAAAAAAAAAAGAAAACCTCGTCTGTCCGTATGGATGGCTCTTTGGCGATAGCATCAATAAATACCTCCTCGTAACACTCCATGCTATCACAATTCCCATCCACAAATGTCCACAATGTTGAAAATCACTTCTTTCTCTCTAAACGGTAATGATCATCATTGCAAATTATCGTAGTCAAATTTTCCATATTGGACCCAACCGGGCATTGCAACCTATTTGAGATGGTGAAAAAAAATGTTGTACGTATTTGAACTTCGTGATTGATATATATTTGTTATCAGTTCTAGTGAATGTGAAATGCATCAAATATTGTTCAAAGGAAGTGTCATCTGAAATATTTCTCGGAAGTGATTTTCAAGATTAATGGTCATGAGATCAATACGATTCGGGTTAATTATGGATCAATGTGTGTGCTATTGATAATGCATGCTTGAACTTATCCATTTTTGTTACTCCTTCCTTTTCCAGTAAGACTCAAGATCGAAACTTTGTCTTTTGGATCGATTTTCAGAATCGAAATTTGCTATCGTTAAGGATAGCATTTCAATTAGTTGTTGCTTGCATGAAAATTTCGACTTTGGTGAGTGTGCTGAATGATAATCAGTAGGCGCGGTAATGAAATTAAGAAATTTATCAGAATAATAAGAACAAATAAACCAAAGAATAATCAGTAAGAAGCAAGGCTGCAACAATAAGAAGCAAAGTTTTTAAGAACAGTCTTTGTCACAATCATCCCAGATTATTAGCTGAAGCTTATTTCGAAGTGAAGTAACTAATATACAAATAATTTCAGGATTGGAAATCGTAAGAAATAGACGATTTACACAAGTATTGTATCCATATTATCATCCAAATTTTTATTCAGAATGAGCACCGTTTTATCATCCAATTGCTTGCTTGTTTCTTTCATTTTGATTAAACGCGATAATAGTTTGAAAATGAACCTCAGGAAAATTATTAGCACTATGATTAAAGACGCCGATATCATGCCGATCAAAGCTGGCAAATAGATGTAGGTATCTCGATTCTTCTGAAGAATAATTGTTTTAAATTTTATGAACAATCTTAGGAATGTAAGATGATGGTTCATTGGCCAATAAACTTTCGAAAACTGGAACGTCACAACGTGATTGAACTTAACGTCTGAATGAAACTTATGACGTTGGATCTTTTTATTAGTCTCAATCATTGATGTCATTATCGATGGCTGTTAGATATAAAGATTGATGTGAATTAGTGTGGAATGTATGTCTCAGAAAATTTCGAAACAATAAATTTATTATTCTACAGGAACTTTCCGTTTTTTTTTTTCAGTAAATTAAAAATGAAGTTCGCAGAACTGATGCTGTCATATCTTCCTCCTATGATAATTATTTAAAAAAAATGAAACCTCTTTTTGAACTAACCATCAATTTGTTAATTCCGCTTTTAGAAGCCCCAAAAATCACATCAACAGCTTTTTTTGGATGTATCATAGATTTCAATGTATTCCATTCGAAATTGTTTGCATTTCCATTATAGGAACTGGACATATTCAATGAATAAAATGCGTCTTGTCCCAATGGCTCACTGTGATTTCGTTGTGGTACGATGGATGCGAATGCAACTGCGATTATTCCGAAGAATAAAATATTCATAGCTTTAAAAATTTTTGGTAGCATTTGTCTAAATTAACTTATAATACATCTTATTCAAATAATAATATTCAAAAATGTGAAAAAAAAAATTTTCAAAAGTAACCATAGCATGCCTTATATTATTTCCAGAAAATAATGGTAATTATTAAGAGAAGAAACTAATCCCGAAAAGAGGATGTAATCTTCAGTTGATTTGTATCATCTAATCAGTAGATTGTGACCAGTTACTATATATTTTCCAATACTACATGCTACAGGAATCCTAGGAAAAGTCTTGCTCTTATTTTACACCCCAGTCACTTATAACTTAACATTACATCATATTTATGAATATTATAGAAATGTCTTAATCAATTATATTTATCGCATCAGTAGATTTCATATTAGCTGCAAATAATAGTCAGCTATGGAGAATTCATTTTCTGTTTCCAAAAATTATAAGCGGGAAATTATAAACATATATTAGCTGTTTGATTTTTTGGTCTAATACTTTGAATTGAATAATTTGGTAAAAAGCAGTGATTTGCATTTAACGATTGAAAACAAATGTTGTAAACTAACAGCATTAAAACTATATATTCATGTGAAGATGAAAATGGGAATACTATCCGTTTGTACAGTATAAAATGATCGTAAATGATGAGGAATTAACATATACACCTATATGAAAGTGTTCGGTTATGACATTAAAAAATTTATAATTAAGGTAATGTTACTATTTTCAATGTTATTAACTATTACTGTCGTGAGTAATTTGCAACACTGTTGTTATTTGTTGAAATTACATCTCTCGAAATTTTATAAATTAATGAAGAAAATAAAATAGTAGAAACATTATTTATGTACAATAAATGAAGTATAAAATTATTTGTACAAAGCACCCAACATTTTAATCATTAAATCTAAGCAAGTCTGTACATGCAAGTGAGATTTTGGATTACATAATTAAATACGAATTATTTTTGAAAAAACATTCCAAATTCAAGCTTTCACATTTTATTTCATTAGTTTGCAAATGAAATGCAAATCCTATCGGAAATCAAAGCTGTCTCATTTTCAAATGATTAGGACTAGTGAAACACTCGGAAACTGTAGTAATGTAGAAATAAAATTATTAATTAGAAATTAACCCCACAGTGTTCGAAATAAATCGTAACAATGTGATTGTAGGGTAAGAGACTTGCAAGCTTTTAATAAATATAATCACTCCATAATGGATTTATTTAAAGTTCCCAAGAAGAAAAGGAAATTCTAAATAAAAATAGATAAATATGCAAGCATTGGCATACATTCGATCATTTGGAAATATGCAAGCATTAGCATACATTCGATGATTTGGAACATTGAGATTCTGAATAATGATATTTAGAATAAAATATATCCATAAAAAAGAAACACAATATCAATTATTAAATTAATTCGTTTTTCAAGTTGTTGGTTTCACAAACTGCCCAGTGGTAGTCTGGTTAATTGGCCATCTCGTTTCAGTTTGCTTGAAGCTTTCAGAAATATCACATTTTTCGATATCACCTATCTGTAGCATCGTAATAGAGATAGATCTAGGAATTCAGGTACTGGAAAGACAACTCACCTGATATGACAACTCACTCTGCATGCATTCAACATGAACTAAGCAACATGAAATAAAATTCAGACAACCATATGAGATAAAAAAAAGCTAAGATAGCTTTCGACTATTCAACATATGATTTGTTTCATTGTATGGCCTGATTGTTGTATAGAAGTTGATTAGGAAGTCTCGAACATTTTTCCTGCTGAACATTCCATCTGAGTGGCATGCGGAGCAAAGGAACACTGGTGGAAATTGTTGTTTCTCAAATTGCGGATCTTCCGTTGCTTTATCTCCATGTAATCGAGCATTAACAATGTTGTGAGCACGCCACAGGTAGAATATCATATCGTAGGCACTTTGCACCTATAGTAAGAGTATTCTTTAATTTAATTAATGAAATTTAAACTTTGGCGTAAAATCTATTATTTTAAGAATTGGACAATCCTCAACAATTATGAGGTTTGCCCGAAGTAAAAAAATGTAAAGAGAAAGACTAAAACTCAAGTTAATTAGCTAATCTGAAATCATCAAAAAATTTCCTTCCTCATTTTTTATATAATTTTTTTGGGTAATGTTTGTTATCTTTTAAATTTACTCTTGATGAAAATCTACAGAAATAAAGTGTGTAAATAAATCGTACTGTGAAAAAAAAAAGAAAAAAGATACCCGACGTTTAGTCAACGGATAAAGAGTGGTTGTCATGTGTAAAAAATGTTGTCGACAATTAAGGCAGCCAAAGAAATTGACAACCCAACCTCGGATACTGAGCAACAGGCTAATGGGTGATTGCAATTTTTGCACAAATGCATTAACGGTGATTGCATGAAATGTTGTCCATAAGCCACATGTATAACCACGATATCCGAGAGCTGTTCCTTTACAATGTTCCCATGAAGCATTCATCGGGAATGGATATCCATATAATCGCTGAAAATTTTCATTTTTTTTTACCATAACTTACAACTTTTAAAAATTCATATGAAAACTTAAAAAAAATTCGATATATGATTAATGAATATATTAATCAATTTACTTCAATATTTTGGAATTGATTTCGCCATACAGCCGTTGAAATTACACTCTTTGCTCGATGTGCTTCGAGAAAATGTCGAAGATGCAAAAAGACTGATTTAGCTCGTGTACTTTGTTTTAATGACTGCAAAAAAAGAATGAAAAAAATTCCACAACTTAAAAAATTAATTGAAAGCAATTTATAATAAAGTGACTGGTATGTATCAGCCGACAGCTATTCATAATTTTTAGCAAGAAAGATTTGTTACGAGAAATTTGACTTTGAGTGATGATGATTAGAGAATGTATGAAAAATCAAAGAGAGAAAAAAAAAGGAATGAGTGAGAATTGAGAATAAAGGAAAATTTTTTAAGTGAAAGGCAAATAGATTGGACCATAAATTTAAAAAGATGATCGTACATTTTAAAATCCTTTTTCTTTTGTTCAAAAGAATTCTAAAAAGATTGCATTACCAAACAAATAAGGGAAAAGAAGATGAAGACAATTAGCGATGAAAATTTTTAAAACGATTTTTATTATTTTGACCCAATTTTCAAACTTAATAAGTATTTAATAAGTAACTTAATAAGTATTTCAAACTTAATAAAATAATAATTTAGTATGAAGCAGTTAGCTAATTCATTTCATATCTGCAAATGGTAGGTGTACGTTCCAAGATGGTATAAGAAAGGTATCTCTGCAAAAAGAATTGAGCCAGCATCGAGAAAGTGGACTAGCATAAATTGCAAATACCACCCGTCTATACAGATATCGACTAGAGAAAGATGAAACAATTTACCGCGGATGATTTCTGATTTGTTGTTTCTGATGATGTTGTATTAGCTGTATAAGTTGGAAAATGCTGAAAATATGGAGAAAAAAAGTGTAGTTATTTATATTTTGTAGGAAAAATTAGCATAAATTTTTCATATGTTAAAATGAAGTTTCATGTTTAATTTATATTTTTGAAATATTTTAATCCAATAATTAGATTACTTCAGCAAGAACACTGATGAAATCCAGCAGTGCTGTGAAATTGGTACTAGTAATGTTGCTATCTGTTTTAATTACTTCATCAAATATTGCCATACGCATCGCTTTCAACATATCCGCCTCCGAAACGTAGTATAACTCACGACATCTTAAATTTAGCCATTAATAAATTAGATTCTTTATTAAGTCTCTTCAAATCAAAAAACTATGCAGTATTATAATTTCAATTATCTACAAAGTGAAAAAAAAAACGAAATATTATTTGGACAAAAAAAAGTCTTTGAACATTTGAATCATTATATTATATCCAATATTTAATGCTGAATTCCTTCCAGCACTATATATAATTTCACACAATTTAAAGTTTGATATAAACAAAACACTTTCATTGAAGTTGAAAAATTATTTAAAGTCTCTGAATATGAGATGGGAAATTTTTGAAAAAAAAAAAGAAAAAAATTTTAACTGTTTCAATACTTTTTAGAGAGGAATTTAGGCAAACAATGAAAAAAAAAATTTTTTTTGAAAAGGAATTTAACGGAATGAAAATATATAGCTGTCATTTCTTCAAACTGTAATAATGAGAAAATTAATTCGAACCTATCGTGATATAACTCGCATTTTACAATATCTTGCTGCTGCTTAAAAGGTGGTAATGGTGGTACCGGTAGGATACGAGACACAGGTAATATTTCTGTCGCATATGTTACCCTCATTACTTCTTGCAACGAATTCGAACCATATCTGAATTTATCAGCCATAAAATAAAATTTTGCAAAAAGTTATGATGCTTGTAGCACTTAATACATATTTTAATGAGTTTGCAAATCAATAGAAAATAATTTCTCATTCTTTTAAATTGACTCGCATTTTAAAAGAATGAAAAATTACTTTTGAAAATTATTTGGAAATAACAATTAATCATTTTGACATTAAAAAAAGAAAAGATCATTTTAAAGTTAATCTGTTTCGTTTGAAATAAAAACTAGTTTTAACCATCATTATCTTGTATTTTTGATTAAGCTAAAAAATATAAAATATCAAAAAAAAAAGAATAAAATCAGGGAAGCAAAACAAAATGAAAACTTACGGACTTTGATAAATGGGATTATTCTGATCACGTTTGAAAACCAAAATATATGGTAACTGTGTGATAGTAAATGATTGGATAACAGGTGAAGAAACAATAATTCTTCTAGTAATTACCGTTCTTTGGAGTGGAAACATATCCAACAAGAATTCCACACCAACACTATCAAATTGCTCGAACAATAGGACAAGAAATTGATGAGAATCATTCAGTTGATTCCAAACGTTTCTTAACGCCATTGCACTAAATATTATGCAAAATTATCAGCTTTTTTTTCTTTCAGTGGTTTTAATTTTCGGGAAAAAAATTGATACAATTAAATTATTTGATAATTAGCAATGGTCAGCATTGCAGAACATTTTTAGGAATTTTTTATTAGTTTTTATTATTAAACTTCTCATCAAGATCCGGAAATATTCTGCATTAAAGCTAGATAATCTTCAAATTACGTGAAATTTGCTTATGATGTTAACTTTGCAGCTTTTTTTTTTTGATAATTAAAGTAACCTATCAGTTGTCAAAAAGGTGAAATCTGGCCAATCTGCATAATGAAACTGATTATATTCATTTCGTATAACTTGTGCCAGTTGGCTTCTCATATGCGGTAAAGAATGTTTTGGCTCCAGTTTGATTGCATCAACACGACTTCGAGCATAACGGGGATAGTACTGAAATATCATGGATTCATTTATCATATATTTATTGTTTGTTTAAAAGATGCGCATTCCAAATTTAGTTTTGATTTTTTCTAACAAAAATGAATTATATAAAAAACAAAAAAAGGTTTAAAAAATATTAAAAAAGTGGAAGAAGAGTTAAAAAAGTGAAAAAGATTAAAAAAGCAAAACGAATAAAATCAAATAAAAAGTGAAATAAAAAGTATATGAAAAAAATTAAAAAAAAAATGAAACTAAATAGAAATTACTAAATTTATGAAATAAAAGATGAAAAATAAAAATAAATTAAAGTTATCGAACTGATAAAGCTAAATTAGTTATAAATTTTGGAAATATTAAATTTTGAATATGACATAATCATTGTCTTTCAAAAAATGATAATTTCTCAGGAATTGCTTAATTATTCCGTTGAAAAGTATTTATTGCTTAAAACACTGACCAAGATCATCGGATAACCGATGATTTCCTCATCGCTGCAAATATTTTGATTGATAATATCAGCGCAATTAATTGCAGCCACTGTTACAACATCTTTCCATGAACGTATGGTGGATGCGAAATCCAAATAAAACGGAGCAAAGGCACGACAATGTCCACACCTTCGATTAATAATATATAAATTTTTGCATATAAATTACAAAATATAATCCCAATTCCAATTTTAGGAAGTGAATATTTTTTAATAAAACATTGAAAAAAAAATCCTAAGATTTTTATAAACGAAAAAAAGAGAGAAACAGATATAATGGTTTATTTGTAATGTTAGATTTGATTTAAATTATATATTAGAAGAATTACCAATCAGCGTAGAATTCAACTACAAATGCATGATTTTGCATGAATATAGTATCATAAAATGTAGCGGCATCAAGTTGCATAATTGGATCAAAACCGGGTTGATATAAGGTCGGATTTGTACCCATTGGTATATAATTCATATTTGAAATATAACCATTCGTTTTTTCAGATATGAACACTACCAATAATATTATCAACAGTAACATTTTAATGCAAAATCTGCAAAAAATTGCTTCATTTTTGAATACTAAACTATTACAATATGTATACTCAATCATATATATGTGCATGATAGATAAAAACAGAGAGTAGAAGAAATTGATAGGATAAAGTGAATGATGAGATGAAAATAGGGTCATCATTATCATCATCATCATCATTGATGGCAATAAGATATCAATTGCACAGTAAACAAAAGCTATTTTTTTCCTGGTACCGTTCATTTCTATCATCGTCAAACAATCACACGTATTTACAAAGTTATCTTCTATTTCCTCATATCCAAAAAAAAAAAAATTTCTTCTATTTCACTTTTCACTTGAAAAAAACAAAAAGAAAAAGAAAAGGAAAAATCCTGCAATGGACCATTTGAAATCTTTCTCTGAAAAATTTGTTGCTCATAAACAGTAAGTGCAAATAATGAAGTGAAAAAATAACTTAATAATATTATTATCTGAAGAATTTGTGGAAAATGATTTAATAGTAATAAATAAAACAAATGAAATTATCAAACACAAACAATAATTCTCGCTCTCTCCCTCCCTTTCTGTCATACATAAATTGCATAATTCGTTGTAGAGAGAAAGAGAGAAAAAAAGGAAAGGAAGGAAAAAGTTCAACAATCAGTTTTGAATTAATAACGAAATTTGAATTTATAAAATGCTGCAAAGTTTAAAGAGCTAATTTTTAATTTATTATTTCAATTTAATAATTTCGGTTGAATATGGACATATATCATCGCGATATTAGCTAATGATTTAAGCTATATGACATACTTGTCAAATGCTCCGTAAATGTGAAATTGAGCGATTTGAAAAACTAACTGCCGAATTGGAAGTAATTTATTATTGAATGATGCAATCATTTTTCAAATTGTTGAATAAATTCGTAATTACTGGCAGATGTATTTCATCAACTGACTGATTAACTTATCATAATTATGAATTTATTAAATGCAAAAAAGAGATACCGCTCAAAAATTAATATTTGATGAAAACTGTTTTCAATAGTCAGTAGTATATTCATATTTAATCAGTGAGAATAAAATGCAGAGAATTTCATCAAATGATAATTGAAGTGTTTGTCATTAATACGCTATGATATTGCTTCAAATTCTCTGAACAGAAATTTCTCTATCTTAATCGGGAAACGTGAAGTATAATTATGTTGATTAACGAAAATAGCAAAATATGACAACAATAAACTGGATTTTTGATTATCATAAGAAACGATGAGATATGTTTCTAGTCCAAATTTAATCTTTAGAAACCTTAAATAGAGAAATCAAAATTTATAACACTTATTAAGAAATTCTTTAAACAGCTTAAAAATGCAGCTGTAATTATTATTCAATCATATTTAGTAATGAATAAGAGAATAAAGCTATGATTATCAGATTGAATAAGATTAGCGCATATATCAATTTCATCCACAATTAAAGCTTTAAATTTTTTAGAACAACTGAAATAGTATTGAACAGTGTATGCGTAAAATGCAATATGATAGATTTGATAACTGAGAATGGTTGCATATTTTGTTATGAATTCAAAAATATCGTTTAAAAAAAAATTGAACTGTATATAACAAAATGGAATAAAAAGCAATATTTCAAATAGTTATGAAAATATTTAAATAATGCATTTCGAGTGGAAATGTCTTTAAATCTTTTCTGTTCATCAGCATTAATGTTAGGATATATTGGACGTATTTCTTTTTTTTTTTGTATGTTAGAGGATATCAGCTGTGAAAATAACCTTTTGCTAGTACGTCATATGATGTGCTGATGTTGGAAAACATTCAATAATGCAATGACAGAAATGTTTTCTAAGACATAATTTGTTCGTGAAACGAAGATTTTTTTTTTTACATTAAAGATCATCGATCAAGACCATCTGCTTTAAAATTATTTTCTCCTTGAAAATTTTCTTTTTCATTCTTTTCTTTTTTTTGTCCTGTTTTTTCTCTCTTTATTCTGAATTAAAATACGATACAGGATAAAAATAAATGATAAATTGAAGAAAAAATATATTGCAAACTCACTTCTGTCATTTAACATTATCGTACTGTAAGATAGAAAGGAATCGGGAAAAGGACAAATTATTCGGTGAGCAGGTTAACAGGATTAAAGTACATTATCGTCAATTTTCAAACATTATGAAAATTTATCACTGTTACTATCAGCAGAATTATATTGAACTAAATTAAAAGGTTGGATTATAATTTTTGGATTGTTGTGGATATTCTTATCAAATTGACATATATTTAATAAATAAAATGAGCCACAAATAATTTTACATTTTATTTCCTATACATTATCTTCATTTAAAAAACAATGAAGAAAGCTAATGAAGCTAAGAATCATAATTCGATCTTTACATTAAAATTAGCTTTACATTACCTGAAATAAAGAGTTCATAAAAATTCGTTAGCATTAAAAAGAAAATACAAGAAAAAAAATGTATTCATTCATAATAAATCTTCACAGCTGTATGGAAATTTTGCATTTTACGATTTCAAAATGTTTTATTTTATCTAAATATTGGAAAGAATAAAATTAAAATTATTCCATGATAAGTAAATGTTTCTGTAGAATTTTTGTTGTATTTAAATCTTTTCAACCTGATATAAACAATATTTCACAAATGTAATCTCATTTCAATACGTAAATATTCGAAGAGTAATTACCTCTAAACTTCTTTCTATTTGATTCTAATCCACTATTCTCATCAGTTACATATCCCTATGATTCATTCATTGATCTGTTAAATCGCCGTCATCCATGAAATGTATTCTTGAGCTATACGAGTAACGTATGTAGATTTAATGTGACATTGATTAAAATTTTTATTAAAAAATTTTTAAAGTAAATTTTCAAAAAAATTAACGTGAAAAAATATAAAAGGAAGAAAGAACGTTAAAGAGCAATATTATTATTACATTATTGATAATATTATGGTGGAGATTTCTTTCACCAGCTACTCTGATATAGATATCAGTTAAAATGAAATTAAAATTTAAAAAAAAATTAAAGACAAATAAATAGATGAGCAAAATTAAGATGAAATTTAAAACGAAGAAAATAGGTGCCATTTTACACCGAGATAATATTATCATAGCTCGCCGCAAAAATAAAAGATTACTTCATTAACCTGTTTAAAGGAAGGTCTACCTTTGATAGAAATGAAGTTAAACATATTTTTACACACGTCCATATAAAAAAGAAAGGTATGCTTGATGCGGAGAAAATTGAAAAAAGAAAGTGAAAAGGATGGAGATGATGACCAAATAATTGTCACATACACGACATTTCATCATAATAATTAACTTTAATTTCAGATATTCCATACTCTTCCCGTGCAGTTGTAATTCCTGTCGCTCGATAGTTAAAATAAATTTGAAATGATTCATGCTAAAATACAAAAAAATGAGCTCAATCAGTAAAAATTTCTCGTATTTGTTTGACTGTTTGTTGCGATATTTCAATAATGATTAGTTATTTTTTTTTAAACCTTGAAAGTCGTAAAACCGGTCTTGATAAAAATTTCGTTTTTTTTTTTTTTTTTTTTAAAAAAATCATTTCCGATGAGAACTGAACGAAAATGCGTGCGAAATTTAAACCATATTTTACAAAATATAGTGATTTGAAAAATTCAGAGTGTCCTGCAAATTTAGTGGTTGAATCAAGTACCACTGGTGAAAAAAAAAACTGTATAATTGCAAGCCTTTTATTTTATGTGATTTCAGTGCAAAAATTTTATCGCTTATGCAATATCATCTCTTGCGATTTCAGTGCAAAAATTTTATCGCTTCATTAATTCTAATCCAAAATTTCAAAAAATTAAAAGCACATTTAATCAACAGAAAAAAAAAAGAAATACTGACAGTATCACCTTAAAAGCCAAAATAATTTTGATGGAATCAGCAGGGTACCAAATTCACGAATCATTTTCGTAGAGTGAATTTTATTATGCGTTACACAGAATAACTGGTTTTTGAAAAACTTGTCAATTGAAACAGAAAGTGTAGAGATAAGTACAATATCATCTAACTAATGATGTTATATAAAGCATAAGATTTTGAAAGAGAAATACAACCTGCATGGCATCATTTGAAAATAAAAATGTTAATATGAATATAATATAAAAATATTGAATGAATTATATTTATTTAATTTCTCTAATTGATTTTAGCAAATTTTCTCGAAAATTTCTGTTTACAACAATTTTTGCTTAAAAATAATTGCATTATTTTGTCTTCTGGAAATGATCGTTATGAACCATTACAACAGGTATCCTTATGCAGTTTCAGATCATTATTCTAAATTAATTTTGGAATTAAGGGAATCTGATCTCTAAATGATTGATATCTTGGAAATTATCGGTACTTTTAAAAATTTAAATTATTTTATTGTTATTTGTTTCATAAAGCAAACGATTTTTTTTAAAATATTTTTTTCCCAATATTTCTAAATCGCCGATTTGAAATGAAATAGCAATGGTAGAATACAAAGTTATTTTCAGCAAATATTATTTAAATTATTAGATTCTTTATAATTTTTGATAATAAGTAAATTCGTTGCTTTTTAAGTGCACCGCGATGTTTATTGCACTAAAGATTTGAGAATAACGAAATGTTTAACCAATTGCTGCAATTCATTGCTTTTTATATTTTTGAAACAGGAAAAACGCTTTTCAATTACTGCCCGCAAAAAATAAAATATTTTGGATGAAATCAAAAGCTTAAAAGTTCAAGAAAATCTCTTCAAATCAATTTCTTTCATTTTCATAGCATATTTCAGAAGGCAAAACCTTTTCATTTTCTGCTTCGCATCTTTTTCGCAACAACGTCACATTGTCCGAGAATTCCATTGGTTATTTTGTAATCTTTTCCGACACTGAAAACAAATGTGAAAATGTTGTATGACAATGGCTTGGTAGCTAATAATATCGTTACTTAATTGACCGCAATTCTGCAGCGGAAAAGGAAA